CTAAGTGATTTTCATTTTATCTTAACTATTTGTTTTGATTTTTGTTGGTCATGGGGCTTGAACTCAGGACCTGGGCCCTGTCACTGACTTTTTGCTCTAGAGTAGTGCTCTATCACTTTGAGCCACAGCTCCACTTCTGGTTTTCTGGTGGTTATTTGGAGATAAGATTCTCACAAATTTTCTTGTGTGGGCTGGCTTTGAACTTCAGTCCTCAGATCTCAGCCCCCTGAGTAGCTAGGTTTACAGGTGTGAGCCTCTGGCACCTGGCTTTATATATATATGTATAGATCTATATAGATCTAGGTATATATATATATATATACACATACACACATATATACATATATATGTATAGATCAATATATAAGTATATATAGATATAGCTTTCTCTACATATATTATTTATATTATATAATTAGCTTAGCTCATCTGTGTGTATTATTCCCAGGGCACAACTGTATTGCCATCATTGACGTCTGTGCTATATGACCACAAGGAATTCCATAACCCAGAGATGTTTGACCCTGGCCACTTTCTGGATGAAAGTGGAAACTTTAAGAAAAGTGACTACTTCATGCCTTTCTCAACAGGTAATAAAATTTTATTCCCATAATTCAAAATAACTTTGGGGGCGGGAGGGGGATGTCAGTTGGAACCTATATAAATCCTCCTTTGGGACTGATATATTTGCCCTAAGCTTGTGATTAGGAGCAGCACTCTCAATGCCCATGTACTTTCTTGTTCATGATGCATCCTCACTGTTTGACCAGATCAGTGAGGCTTCAGTTTCTCTGTGCATTTCTTCCACATTCAGCAAGGTAAAGCAAGCAATTCTGGCATTCTCTCTTTACATATATCATAATGATCTCTTCCTAAACAGTAAAACTCATTTAGAATGGCCACACTCACAATGAGAAAGATGATCTCATCACAAGTCCCTCCCACATCTTTTTGTGGCATTTATCACTCCCAGGCTCCTCTACAGAATGAAATGTCTCCCAAAAGACACGGAAGAACACACCAAAGAACGGTGAGGGAAGATCATCACAGATTACAAGACATCAGAATTTGTAGGGTGGAGTATTAACCAATTGATCACTTTCTTGTACCCCAATATTAAACAGAAAATGGACTAAGCAACATTGTAAGACATTTTGGTACTTCAAAGGGGACAGAGAGTAGACAGAAGACACAGCAGAGCATTTTTAAGAAAGTTATGAACCACAAGAGCAGACCATTTACCCTCAGCCAAAAGTGTCAGAAAGTGTCAAATGATCTTTTGCACATATCAGGGACCTGTGTCAGATATCACACAATGATCACAGACCACTGTGCTCTTCTTTTGATCCAAGATATGTATCTTGGATATTGTATCTCGACACCTGCAGTATGTGTGCTGTATGTCTGGCCAGGGAGCAACCTTCCTGTTCTGATACTGTGACTTTTTGTCTTTTTTTGTTTGTTCATTTTTGTTGTTATTGTTGTTGGTTGTGAGGTTTGAACTGAGGGCCTGGCTGCTATCCCTGACCTTTTTTGCTCAAGGCTAGAGGTTTGAGGCACAGCTTCATTTCTGGTTTTCTGGTGGTTAATTGAAGATGAGCGTCTCATCCACTTTCTTAGCCCATGCTGGCTTCAAATCACCAGCCTTAAATTTCATCCTCCTGAGTAGCTAGGATTGTAGGCATGAGCCATTGGTGTCTAGCTAATGCTGGGACCTTTGATATCTGCTTTATATCAGTCACATAGATACCATGGGGAAAGGAGCAATCTCTCTTCAAATATTCACTTGATTACACAAAGGGAAATGTTAAATAATGAGAAAATTATTCTTTCAGATGATTTTGTGCTTCAGTGAAATTCTGGATATGATATTTGGGAAACTGACTGAGAACAAGTATTTTTAAAAAAATAGTATTTCAATTTAACTTCATTTATTTTTTGTTTGTGTGGTGCCAAGCATTGAACGCAGGGCCTCATGCATGCTAAACAAGCGCTCTACCACTGTGCCACATTGCCAGGCAATGGCAAGATTTTATGGCTTGAAGGAAATCAAATGTGGTCTGGGTCTTGGTGTCTGTAAGGAAAAGTATCATAGACAAAAGGAATTACAGGATATAATATATTTAAACTTGTTTACCTTAAGTGGATAAAATGGAGAGTAGAGCTGTCAATATTAAAATGTAAAAAGTGTTCATTGAACATTTTTCTAGGCACAGGTTACATGAGCAATAGGAATGGGTTTTCTTAGAAAAGCACAGATATCTCTAGAAAATACAAAGTTTATCCAAATATTATAAATAGAATAATAAAACCCCATGAAAATTGTAATAAATTAAAATCTATTATTATTTTAATTCCTCACCAACACTTCATAAAAGAATTATTAGCATCCTCATTTAATATATGAAGAAACTAAGGCTCAGATAGTTTAAATAACTCATCCACATGGGTAGTAAGTGACAGAATCAAGATTTGACTTTTGAGTTGACTTTGAAAGCAGTGTTTCCATAGGATGAATTCCACTTAGAGTCAAGGGAAGGTCTAGTCCTCCACCCCTAAATTTATATCACTCCACAGACCCAAAGATTTGAGGAAATCCCAAAGCACGTGGTCACAGGCCTTCCTGATAAGTAAGGTTAATAGTAAGAGAGAAGAAATAGGATTAGGCCTTCAGGTTGAGGATAAACAATTAATTCCTCATCTCAACTGCTGGGAAAAAATAAGATTGGAAGCTTAATTGTCTTCCAGAATTATGATTCCTGCCTTTTTCAGGGAACATAGTACAGTATCTGACATACTAATTCAGCAACCTCCAACTCAGTATAGAGAGAAAGAGAAAAAAGGCAAAGAGAGGAGGAAACATTTTTAAAAAGAGCATTTGTCACATAGAAATATTTAGTAAAAGGTTTACATAAAGATGGTAATCTATTTTTCTTTTAAATATAATTTGGTTTGGTATGGTTTTCCTTTGGATTTTTTTTTTAAAGACAGGATCTTAAAAATGTAGTTCAAATTGGTTACCAACTCAAGATTCTTCTGGCTTAGCCTCCCGTGGTGGAATTACAGGTGTGTGCTGCCGTTCTTAGATTATAAACAAAAACAACAACAAAAACAAAACTTTTAATGATGTACAAGTTAAGATTACGTGTTAGGTAGACAAATAGTCAGTTTCCCTGCCTTCCCTGTGTACTTCCATGCATCTATCTGCTATGCAATTGGTAATTCTTTGAACATTGACACTTTCTTTTGCCAGTTACAAATGCAGTGCTTCATACTCTCACAAAGCATTTCCTGCTTTGACTTTTTTTTTTTTTTTAAATTTCAGGCAAAAGGATTTGTGTTGGAGAGGGCCTGGCCCGCATGGAGCTGTTTTTATTCCTAACCACCATTTTACAGAACTTCAACCTGAAATCTCTCGTGGATCCACAGGACCTCGATACCACTCCAGTTCTGAATGGGTTTATCTCTGTGCCACCGTCATACCAGCTGAGCTTCATTCCAGTGTAAAGAAGAGCTCTGCTGTCTGGCTCCAGCTGTGCAGCAATCTGCAGTTCCCTCCTCTGAGCCATCACTCACCTCCTTCCCCTGCCAGGAATGCTTTCCTGTCCTCTCTTCTCACATCTCCCCTCTCCCTCCCGATCCAGGAAGATCCATTCTCCATTTTGGATGGTTTCCTGTGTCACTGTACTATCACATCTATAGTCTCTTATGTTTAGAATATCCTAAACATAGTCTTATTTACCACCCCACCTGTTAATACTTACCTAATGCTGATTTACTAATATGCTAGGATGGCAAAACCATAAAATGATGACCATGTGACAACACAGACTCATTTCTCTGTATATTATCCATAATATTATTTTTCATGCCTTTGGTCATTGTTGGACTTTGCTACTTTATTCAACATTCAGTGACGCAATGAAACAAATGAATCCCATGTTGACCCCATTACAGCAAGCACTAGGAATGGGAAGGGGAAGATGGTAGGAAAACTCCTTGGCTATGTCACCTGTCATATCTGGAGATGTGGATTTAACAAGCAAAAGCAATGTCCAGAAGCAGCTCCTCCTGGAGGAAAATGTTGTGTGACAGACATAGACAGAATAAACATTAAAGGCTAGTGTTCACATCTTTATTTTGGTGTTAGTGTGAACAAAAAATAAAATCAAAATATTCTTGTCAATTGATCTTTGCATTTGAAAGGAGATATGATTTAATGTTTTCATATTGATAATCATCTGCTTTATAATTGTTATTTATGCACATCAATTGTACATTTTAAGATGTTTCATACCTGCATACACTTTACTTTGACCATACCATTTTCCCTTCACTTTTGGCAATACTAAGTTTTAAATTCAGGGCTTTGTTCTTCCTAGACAAGAACTCTACTGATTGGACAATATCCTGCATCTGTTTTTCTACTTTGTACACATTGTTTACACTCAACATAAATGTGATTACAGTTATAATAAGGGCACTAAATTATTTCTCCCATTTAATTTTTGAAACCTTCACAATTGTGCATCTAATAAACAATTTCCCCTTCCTTCTACCTTGTCATGTATCACATGAGAAGTAACATCATTTATCCACTCTGCTGGTCTCATTTCCCAGAGGAAGCCCCTTGGCACACCAATTTTTAAGCTAATATATTTTAGCCTAGGTAAATACACAATCTGTACATATATCAATGAATTGTTATATATACAAGGTATATTTATACAGGATATAAACATACATTATATATGGTTTTCCATGAAATTGGGTTCACTATAAAATATATTGAACAGGTACTGGTAGCTCATGCCTGTAATCCTAGCTACTCAGGAGGCTGAGATCAGAGGATTGGGGTTCCAAGCCAGCCCAGGCAGGAAAGTCCATGAGAATCTTATCTCTAATTAATCGCCAAATGCCAGAAGTGGTGTTGTGGCCCAACTGATAAAGCACTATGCTTGAGCAAAAAGCTCAGGGACAGTGCCCAGGCCCTGCATTGATCCCCAGGACCTGCTACTCAGGCCTGAAAAGATATTTAGTACAACTGGCTGTTTTCCTGTTGAAACATATGCCAGTGAAACCCTCAAGTTATGGAAAAATTGGACATGATTGTTTTATATTTGAATTAATACATAAAATATAAAATTATATTTATGGAGCCCCATGTTTTTATTTTTGGTGGAACTGCAGTTTGAACTCAGGATTCCACACTTGGTTGGCCTGCTTTCTTTGGTGGTGTTCTACCACTTAAAACATGCCTGTATCCTGATTCTAGTAATTTTGGAGATGGAGTTTCATGTACATTTCTGCTGGGGCTGGCTTCAAATTGCAATCCTCCAGATCTCAGCCTTCTGAGTAGTTAGTTAATAATGCAGGCAACAGCCATGGGCCCGAGCTCCATGTTAGGTTTTTAATAATTGCATACACTCTACAGTATTTAAATCAGGCAGCTAGATATATCTTTTGGAACATATGGTATATCATATATCATTTATCTATTGTAAAACCCTTCTTCACTTCATGACCTATAGAGGAGAGTGGGAATACTCATAGGGAATAAAGTAAATAATCTACAAATGAGTCATCAACTTTAGTTTATCCAAAATAAAACAATGATCTATCAATGTTGAGATAGATTCTAATAGTTTAGAGTTCTGAACTTTGTGAATCGTAAACATTTTTTGATGCATAAACTCAAAAAGTATATAAAGAGTTTGCAAGTTCTCTAGATAAAAAACACCAGATGTCCCTAACCCTCATTTTAATCAATGGATACTGCAATTAAGAAAGTCTTGTTTGTTTTGAAAGTCAGTGTTTTGGTTCGGTCATGGTGCTTGAACTCTAGGCTTGGGCGTTATCCCTCAGCTCTTCAGCTCAAGGCGAGCACTCTACCTCTTGAGCTACAGTGCCACTACCGGTTTCCTGAGTACTTTATTGGAGATAAGTGTCTCACAGACTTTCCTGCTTGGGCTGGCTTTGAACTGTGATAGTCAGATCTCAGCCTCCTGAGTAGCTAGGATTATAGGCATGATCCATTGGTGCCCAACTTTAATTTGTTTTAACTGAATGTTTTACTATGGGAAGCTTATGAGACTAGGGGTTTGTGGGTTCTGACCTCACCTCTACCCTGTGTAGTGTTATACCCTTGTCCAAAAATTGAACCTGAGGCCTGGATTATAACATGGGAATGATTTTTATTTAGTCAACGATAGATTGAAAGTAATATTCAAATATCTACATGTATCATTTGTGTGTGTGTGTGTGTGTGTGTGTGTGTGTGTGTGTGTGTGTGTGTGTGTGTGTGTGTGTGTGTGTGTGTGTGAGGGTGCTGATAGGCCTTGAACTCAGGACCTGGGAAGTGACCCTGAATTTTTTTGCTCAAGGCTGGCACTCTACCACTTGAGCCACAGCTTCACTTCTGGCTTTTTTGGTCATTCATTAGAAGACAAGACTCTCTTAGACTTCCTTATGACAAGAGGCAGCTGTCAGCCTGGTGAGGAACAAGGATGTAGGAGGAGATGGAGGATAAGCTTTCAAACTATCAAGGCTAACTAAGGGGCCAAACCAGGCCCAGGGTCACCTGCATTTCCCCATCCTTATGCCATAGGAACAATCATACACACTAAAGAAGGATCCCCACCACAAATATGTACCAACTCTAAAGAAAATAGAATGAGACAAGATCAAGACAGAAACAGAAAAACCGAAGCCTGCTGTTTAGGCATGATGCAGAGATCTACCACCTCAGCAGTTCCCAAAACTCTCTAAAGTATGAGAGCCGGATGGGCAGGCCCTGAATTTAAACTTTAGTACTGTGAAAAATGAAGGAAAAAATGACATGGTCATAGTATATTGTACACATGTAGGAAGCACCTCAAATTGTACAATTAATGTACACCAAAGAAATTAATATGGCAGATGATAAACAATATAACATAAACTCATATCTGGCTTTCAGTTGGAAACCTCAATTGACAAGAATATTTCCAATTTTTATTTTGTGTTCACACTAGCACCAAAGTAAAGACACAAACCCTAGCCTTTAATGTTTATTGCTGTCTATGTCTGTGTCACAGAGTATTTTCCTCCAGGAGGAGCTGCTTCTGGACATTGCTTTTGTTCACTAAATCCACATCTCCAGATATGACAGGTGACATAGCCAAGGAGTTTTCCTACCATCTTCCCCTTCCCATTCACAGTGCTTTCCGTAATGTGGACAACAGGAGACTCTATTTTGTTTCATTGCTTCACTGAATTGTAAACAAAGGAGAACAGTCCAAGAATTACCCAGGCAAGAAAAATAATACTTCTTACGGATAATATGCAGAGAAATGAGGGACAAAGGGTGAGTAAATGCAACAGTGGAATTCAAGAGACACTATGTTGAAAATGAACTGTACAACTTTTGGGTGGGGATGGAAGGGAAAAACTGGGAAGGGAAAAAAAGCCAGGGAAGGAGTGACAGTGTTCAAGAAGAAATGTACTCTACCTGACTTATGCAACTGTAACCTCTGCACATCACCCTTCTAATACAAATTTTAAAAAGAAGAATCATTACAGAGAAATTATCTTATTCAAAACATAAATGTAATTATGTCAAAACTCATACATAAATAAAAATATGGGATAAACTTCCCTAATGTTATATTTAAAAAAAATCTTCCAAAATCTACTTAAGATATGAAACTTGACAGTGTAATATCAAGCTTGAACATTTTTTGCCAATCACAAATGAAACAAAGATAGCCACCAACACCAATTTTGTTTTATACCAGTGCAAAAATTCAGCAAAACACAATTATGGACACAAGAATTGGAAAAGCCCGCATAAAAATATTAACTCAGATATTGTGGTAATGCATCTGAAAGCTCCAAATATACCTACAAATAAACCATTAGCAATGGCTATTAAATTTCCTGAGCTTACATATTATAAGGTCACCAGACTGTTAAATAATTATATTTCTAAATATCATGTAGAAAGTATTGCAAAAGCACCATAAAAATATGAAGAATCAAAAGGGACAGTGGTTTCTCACATCTGTAATTCTAGCTGCTTAGGAGGCTGAGATCTGAGGTAGATCAGCCAGGTAGAAAAGTCCATGAGCCCCTTATCTGCAGTTAACTACCAGAAAACTGGATCTGGTACTTTGGCTCAAAGTGGTAGAGCGCTAGCTCTGAGAAATAGATGCCCCTTCTTTTTTTCATCTTCCTTCTGGTGTAATGAGGATCCCACATGACCTTTTCCTCTTACAATGATATGAACAATCTTTGAGACCAAGTAGTCTGAATATTATAAAAACACATTTTTTTCCCCCCTAAGGAATGAGCACATGGTGACAAAGTAAGATTAGAACCAAATGACTGGGTGGCTTTGCCACTGATGACTTTCACCTATTTGTGAAAATCTTCTCTTGGCCTTTATTCATTATCACTTTTCTATTCTACCCTTAAGACAAATACTTGAGTTCTGTACATGTGTCATACGACTTGAAGATAAGTCCACTCTACTCAGCCCTCTGACTTTCCTCTCCTGCAGTACACACACTCTGCCAGCCACAGGCTCAGTGCTTGGGCTAGACCATGACTTAGGGCTTCTGACCACTGTACTCTTCACTATTTGAGCCACTGAAACTTCACTGTGGGTCCATGTCAGGCCTTCTCCCTGTCCACCACCAACTCTTCTGTTCATATTTCACCCAAACACTGTTACAAGCTATCCCAAGATTCCCTGAGCTATGACTGTTTTCAAGCTTGAAACAAACTCATTCTCAGCAGATTGCCCTTGTTATAACCCCCCGTGAGACAAGAGGAGCAATGACACATTTTTTCTTTGGAGAGGCCAGCCTTATACCTCAAAGTAGTCATTATTTCCTTAAATCTCCACCCTGGCTTTAAGGTTTGTGGAAGAGGTGTATTTAGCATGCTGGTAGAATTGTCATTCTTGCCAGTGCCATCTGACTTACCTTGTGATTGTGTCTTGGGATTCCTCTAACCCTCCTGTTGGACTATTAACAGTGTCCAGAACTGTTTTCCAATTGTTTCTATTGAGACTGCCTCTCTGTGCTTCTCTTTTGTCAGTGAAAATGTGAACTCATCCCTCTTGTCTTCTAGTCTTGATTTTCTCTCTTTCACTTGATCTTCCCTACTGGTAGGGCTTTCAACCAAGTATTTTCTTTTATTTGATCTATTGTTCTCTTAACTTTTCAAACCCCCAATTAATTTTTTTACCAAATTGCATCTCTTGGGTCATTCTTTGTGTCATAAATTGGCTTCTTAATATTATGTAGCTGCCTATTTTATTCTGTTTGATCTCATTAAAGTATTCTTGGCCCTTTGGATTTCATTGACAATAGTTACAATCATTTTCATTATGTTCAAATAGTTGTACAAAGGAGTTTTCATGAAAACCTGTTCCTCTATGTATGTGATGCATTTGATCAGCTACCCCTTCCTTCATTCTATCTTATCTGTCTAATTCCCATGATTCTCCTCCATCTTCCTGGTTCCACTCTCAGTGAATGATGTGACTTCATTCACTGGACATTCCTCTCTCCACATGACAGCTCCTCCCCTTAAATTGTATCCTGGCTCAGACCAGCCAGGTTTCAGCTTCCTAGCATACACATCGTTGAACTGTTAAATGTGTTCAAGGAGTTATACCATGAAACCCAGGCCTTTTCAGTTTGACTGTGTATATACTCCTGTGTGTGCTGTAATATATGTTTATATTTTAAATGTAACTTCCATATATTAGATAAGTCATGCACTCCATCTCTCTCAGGCTGATTTAACTCAATATGAATTTTTTCTAGCTCCATCCATTTCTCTGTAAATGATGCAATATTATTATTCCTGATGGATTAATAATACATATATAATACATATGTGTATGTATGTATAGTGTATGTGTATGTTACATTAAGTCATTGTGGGCTCTTATGTATGCATTGTCTATTTTCTGCTGATTCTCTTGCTGGTTTCTGTACTGATTTAGAGGTGTCCATGCATGGAATGTACTCAGGCTTCAGTGCCCACGGTGAGTTCCTTAGGACTTCTACTTCTACAGTCTATGGATCTGCATTTCTCTCAGTATGGTCTCAGCACTCTTGATGAAATCAAAACTACTTTTCCATAGCACTGACTTTCATAGCAGTTTTGTCTAGAATTAGGTGTGAGAACATAGAGTGTATATTGAGTGTGTCTCTAGGAAGAATCGTTAGCAATCACCCATCATCATCTTATCTCTTTTTTCTATATTTATCTTGTGCTAGCTCTGGGGCTGTAACTAGGACTTGGATGCTATCACTGACTATTTGTACTCAAGGTTAGTGCCTTACCATTGAAGACAAAGCTCTAGTTCCATTTTTTATTAGGAGTTAGAAATAAGAGTCTCAGAGACTTTCCTTCCTAGGTTTTGAACAATTCTCAGATCTCAGCCTCCTAAGATATATATGTCAGATCTCAACCTCCTAAGACTTAGATAGATAGATATCCTCACACTGGCTAGTGATCCATATACTCAACCCTCTTTAGATTTAGTTTTGAGACTAGGTCATATAAGGGCTAACCCAAACAACAAAGAGATAATATCTCATCCACATAAGGATTGTTGATCACAATAAGAAAATAGATAACAAATGCTGGTGGTATTGTGGGTTAACTAGAGTTCTTGTGTATACTGGTGTAAATCAGAAGTAGTATAGACATTCTGCAATATTGTCTGTGAGCTCTGCAATTTTTTTGAAAAAGAACTATAGTAGGATCAATCAATCCCAATGCTTCTAAATTTCCACGGAAAATTAAAACAGTATGTTGATGACAAAACTTTTGCACATTTTACTAGACCTAAGACACAGACATCTTGCACAAACACCAGAAGATAAAAAGGTAACCAATAGGTTACATGTTTACACTATAATACTAAACAGATACACAAATATAGTATTTTTTGTAAAACATGTCAAAATAGAAACATTACATTATTGAAATAGTCCAACCATAAATATAATTATTGGATTTTTGAACTCCTTGAAATTGAGCATAGAACAGATATTATCAGACTTTGAGAAGAGTTTTGTCTAATAAGAATTTGGGAAGTTTGACTAATGGGATTAAGTTACAATTAGAGAGGAATAAAAGTATATGATATTAGCTGGGAGCCAGTGGTTCATACATGTAATCCTAGCTACTCAGGAGGTTGAGATCTGAGGATCATGGTTTCAAGCTAGCACAGGCAGGAAAGTCTGTCAGACTATTAATTGCAATTAACTACCAAAACCCCAGAAGTGGAGCTCTGGTTCAAGTGATAGAGCACTAACTGTGAGGAAAAAAACAAACAAACTCCGGAACAGCACCCAGGCCCTGAGTTCAAGCTCCTGGACCAGTACCAAAACAGCACAGATAAAATCCCATAATGTCTAATATACAGTAGAGGAACTTGGTTATGATAATAGTGTCTATTTCCAAAGAGAAAAATTGACTGAGAATGATTGATCACACAGAAATTACAAATATGTAAGGATACAAATATGGTTATTCTGAGATGAACTCAATAATGTATATATGCTTCAAAAAACCCAATATATACCATAATTTTAGCTTTTCAACATATCAATTGATATTAACCTAAACATCAAAAATCATGTCTCATATTTTATAATCTTGAAGGTTTTCGTTTTCCTGGCATATAGTTTTAGTGGCCAAACAACACATTGTACAAAGTTCATGCACCTGGACCTATAAAGAATTCTATGAAGAGGGATTGGGAAGGTGGCTCAGTGGTAGAGCACTTGCCTTGCATGCATGAGGCCCTAGGTTTGATTCCTTAGCACCACATAAGCAAAAAGAAAAAAGCCGGAAGCAGCGCTGCGGCTCAAGTGGTAGAACGCTGAACTTGAGCTGAAGACCTGAGGGACAGCGCCCAGGCCCAGAGTTCAGGCCCCATGACCAGACATTCCTCCCCCCCAAAAAAAACCAAAAACTAAAACAAAAAAAGAAGAATTCTATTTATAAAGCCATATCTATAAAGAATATGTATGGTATGTGGATCTGTGTCTGTGTACTCATGTATTCCAGAGTCACATATCCATATAGACACTGGTATTAACTGAAAATTGTCTGACAAGGTTGTTCCCTTTGGGAAAGTAGAGGAAGTATAATGAGAAGTTACTTTGCATTATAATATTTTAAGATGAAAGGAAGGAAAAGAATTTCAGTCCTGTTTTAGATGTACATTATCATGGGATAATGACTTTAGGTTCTTGCTGTCCTCATTTAGATGGAATGTAAACCTACATGGAAGGTAGAAAAATAATAGTAAAGGAGATGTTTCCTAGGATTTTTGTCTTGGGGAGAAAGAAGAAGACTCAACCCATATGAATAACACCCAGAAATATGGAAACAAACATTCCCATATGCCTCTAGGTTAGCTAAATACTATTTCAAGTTTTCTTATTTGTTCACAGTAACATCAAAACAAGGCCATGATTTCTAACCTTCATTTATTTTCCTTCCTATGATTCATTTCCATTCTATTTCCCTGTAGGCCGGATATGCGTCTAAGAATCGTCCATCTGTTTTGAAATAAAACCTCTAGAAACACTGAGTGACACTCAGTTGACTCTGTTCTCTACCATCCTCCCCTTAAATTCTTTAGCTTTTCATTGAGTGGAAAAGGAGCCTCTTTGCATTTCTGTTTTCTTTCATCTTCCTTGACACAGGAAAGGAGATATAAGAATGGTCAGAACAATCAAGAATACTTTTTTTCAAGAACATACAGAGAAGAAATGGCTCCAAAATATAATCTGTGAATCATTTTGTCGTTTTTCAGTGATAGCATATGAACCACACAGCTGCAGCTGTGCACTGGAAATTGGCATGGTCAAAACAACTGCAATAAAACACAAGGAATAGCAGGTGTGTTTGTGCAATGACACCCTTCCTCCCCACCCCCCCACTCTCACCCCACCTTCCACTAAGTCTACAAAGTGGTGAATGGGTTTCCTGGATATTGAGCACAGGAGGTGAAATGAGCATTGAGTGGAGGGAAGGCATCCTGCATAGGTAAAGAAGGAGCCAGGGTCTCAGAAGAAGTGCTGTCACAGTGCACCTACTCAGACAGGAATGAAGCAGAGCTGGGAAGTGGGTGGAAAGGCAGCAAATCCAATGGCTGCTGGGATGGTGTGGATGTCCTTTGGGTCAACTAGAGATTTTAGTTTAAAGTTCTGTAAAGTGGTAGTCAGGAATAAAAATAGCTCCATATGGGCCAGACCCTCTCCTCCACACATCCATTTTCCTAGAGAAACAAAAAAAAATCCACCAGAGTGTAGTTATTCCTGGTATGTAATTGTTAAAATACTAAGCCCTGTGTTTGCATCCCCAAAGAATATGGTTGTTGATTGGAATTTGGAGTGGGCGATACACAGGCAAATGGACTAATAGTAGACTGATACCTGTTGAGAAAGGCATGAAGTAGTCACTTTTCTTAAAGTTGCCACTCTTATCTAGAAAGTGGCCAGGGTCAAACATTTCTGTGTTGGAGAATACCTTGTTATCATATAGCACAGACATCAAAATGGTTGTGCCCTGGAAACCACATACACAGAACACCAGGCTAATAAAAAAAAATCATGAAGTTGAGAATTACATTTGAAATCAATTAGTTCTAGTTTTCAAAAACAGAGCAATGACATTTCCATTGAGACAGATGTTGCAATCAATGGAGCTGATTCTGAGAATGGGGGCAAATATTAGGATAATGTGCCCTCAAAATCCATTTGAAGTTCTAATCACTCTAGTATTGCAAAAACGTCTACACCTGCTCATGTTTTCTTCAAGAGTAGGCTCTTGTGCCTGTCTCAAATCCCACTCCAGTTTGTCGCTGAACATCCACACAACTCATGTAGATTATGGATTCAAATGCTAGGATTAAGGGTGAATTCTCAGAGCACAGGATTAAAGGATTTTAAAAATAAACATCAAAAGGGTGAACCAAGAAAGCAATGGTACTCTCTAGACTCTATGGTGAAAATGAACCATCTTATAAATGAATCATGAATGAAATCATGAATCATGAATGAAAAGGAATCATCTTATGGGTGAAGATGGGAGGGAACAAATTTGGAGAGAAAAAGGGAAGGGGAGACTTTGTCCAAAAAGAAATATACTCTACCTGACTTATGCAACTGTAACCTCTCTGTACATTACCTTTATAATAACAATAAAAACATTTTAATAAAAACATCAGGTGTGTTCTTCTAAAATATAAACAAGTCCAAAAAGCAGGCCTAACACCTGTCATAATTCAGTTTGTTTCAATACAAAACCGTCTTTAAGAAACAGTAAACCTTTGAGAAAACAAAAGTGAGGATAGAATTAGAAATTTCATCCTGTTTAGCCTTTCAGGTCAGGATCATTGAGTTAAGCAAGGATCATTAATGGAAACAAAATCAAAGAAGGTAACTTAGTTATTTCTACCCAGTAGTAAGTACTTTGCCATGTTTGCATAATAACATGTAAAATGCAAACATCCACAAAAGAGGGATCTGACAGATACCATCTTATTAAATGAAGGAGTTAGAGAACATGGCAGTGGAGTAGGTGAAATTATTGTCCCCCTCACTGAGGTAATTCTCATACTATGCCATCTTCATTATGAATTATTTCTGGAATCTAAACCATCAAAAACAATGACACAAAATCAACCTTTGGAACTTTGGAAATGCTGCTAGTTTGCTTCTTTGGGAAGGTCGAGATACTGAAAGAAACACTCAAAGATTCCTGATTTAGGAAAATAAAAAATAGAAACATTAATGGGGGCTGATGGCTCCTGCTTGTAATCCTAGCTACTCAGGGAGCTGAGATCTGAGGATGCCAGTTCAAAGCCAGATCTTGGAGGAAACTCTATAGACTCTTTTCTCCAATAAGCTACCAAAAAAAAGTCACAATTAGAGTTATGGCTCAAGTGGTAAAGCACAAACTTTACTAACAGAAGCTCAGAGATAGAGCCCAGGCCCTGAGCTCCAACCCCATGGCTGGCACACAAACAAACAAACAAGTAAAGATATCTATAGTCAGTCAAGTATGGAAGCCTATCAAGTGTCTGAGGCAAGAGGACAGTTACTGGGGATCTGCTGGAACGAAGATTTTTTTTTTTTAAATTTTAATTTAATTTTATTTGTGAACATACTGTGCAGAGGAGTTACAGTTACATGGGCAGGATAATGTGTACATTTCTTACCAAGCATTGCAGCCTCCTCCTTTGTTTACCCTTCACATCCCTTCCCAGCCTCCCCCCTCCCCCCCAATCCCAATCCTTCTCCTTCCTCCCCCCCAGCCCCCCCCTCCCACACACACACCAGCGTTGTAAAGTTCGTTTTGGACATGACAACTTGTACTTCTCATTGTTGCAACAGGTCCACCTGTATCCTTAAACAACTGGTTTTTCCCCATCTCCTCCACAAGTTATACTGACATCAAATATAGTGAAAGCAAGGGTTATACTGTGGGGGAGGGACATACAAAGCAACAAAGAGATAATCTTATAAATGTGTTAGAAACACATGCATGAAAGAAAAAAACATTAAAATACACATCTAAGGGTTCATTTTCCTGACATCACATTATCTGACCTTTTCCGCTTGACTCATACATATACTAGATATTACAAATAAGGGAAACCATGGGACCTACGTTTCTTTGGGCCTGGCTTACTTCACTTAATATAATTTTTTCCAAGTATTTCCATTTCCTAACAAATGGGGCAATGTCATTCTTTCTGATGGAGGCATAGAATTCCATTGTGTATATATACCACATTTTCTTGATCCACTCATCTACTGAGGGGTATCTGGGTTGGTTCCATATCTTAGCTATGGTAAATAATGCTGCAATAAACATAGTTGTGCTGGTAGCTTTAGTGTGGTCTTGTTTGTAAACATTAGGGTAAATGCCCAAAAGTGGGATTGCTGGGTCATAGGGGAGCTCTATGTGGAGTCTTTTGAGGAACCTCCATACTGCTTTCCAAAGTGGTTGAACAAGTTTACATTCCCACCAACAATGAAGTAAGGTTCCTTTCTGTCCACATCCCCTCCAGCATCTGTTGTTGTTAGAGTTCTTGATTTTTGCCATTCTAACTGGAGTGAGGTGATATCTCAATGTTGTTTTGATTTGCATTTCTTTTATGGCTAGGGATGTTGAACATTTCTTCATGTGTCTATTGGCCATCCTTCTTTCTTCTTCAGAGAAGTTTCTCTTTAAGTCTTTCGCCCACTTATTTATTGGGCAGTTGTTTCTTTGAGGATTTGTTGTTGGGGGGTTTAATTTTTTGAGTTCCAAGTATATTTTAGATATGAGACCCTTGTCCGTTGTATGGCTAGTAAAGATCTTCTCCCAATCCGTGGGCTTTCTATTGATCTTGCTAGCTATGTCATTTTCCCTGCAGAAGCTCTGCAACTTTATGCAATCCCATTTGTCCAACCTTTCTTTGATTTGTTGTGTTTCCGGGTCTCTATTCAGAAAATTTCGGCCTGAGCCAAGGAGACCCAGGGTTTCTCCTATTCCATCCTGTAATGTTTTCAGAGTGTCTGCTTTGAGTTCAAGGTCTTTGATCCATTTGGAGTTGATTCTGGTGCAGGGTGATATATAAGGATCTAGCTTAAGTTTTCTACATGTAGTTAACCAATTTTGCCAGCACCATTTACTGAAGAGGTTGTCTTTCTTCCATTCTATTGTTTTAGCTCCCTTATCGAAGATTAGCTGGCTATAGGTCTGTAGGTTCATTTCTGGGTTTTCAATTCTATTCCATTGGTCCTGAGGTCTGTTCTTATGCCAATACCAAGCTGTTTTGATTACTATGGCTTTATAGTAGAGTTTGAAATTTGGTATTGATATTCCTCCAGCAGTGTTCTTTCCATTCAGGAGCGTTTTTGCTATTCGGGGTCTTTTATTGTGGAACGAAGATTTTTGTGTTACCCTTCTGTCAACTCCTTCCCCAGATAGTTGCATTACAGGCATGAGTCACCAGAATCTACATAAAATCTCCAATTTTAATGACAAAATAACCCACAAATTTATCTCACATATTCCAGGCACCAGTGGCTCATGACTGTAATCCTAGCTACTCAGGAGGCTGAGATCTGAGGATCAAGTTTCAAAGCCAGCCCAAGTAGGAAAGTCCATCAGACTCTTCAACTAACCACCAAAAACCCATAAGTGGCGCTGTGGCTCCGTTGGTAGAGTGCTAGCCTTGAGCTGAAGAGGTCAAGCCCAGAGTTCAAGCTCCACAACTGAGAAAAAACAAATTATCTGATTTTTATTTTCTGACCTTAACCATTTTTCATAATTATTTGTGTGATACAGTAAATGACTTCTTACTTAGCCCTTGATACAAGGTTCACCAAGAAATGAGATCATTCTAACAATCAACTTTTTTTACCTTTATTTTCTGACTTCAACTGTTTCTATAATTATATGAGTGATGCTGCAACTTACTGCTTACTTTACCCTATAATCAAGGCTCAAAAATACTTGGGATTACTCAAGCTCTAATCTTATCAAGCCAAACTTCTTTACCTCCATTTTATTCACTGCTTCTATAACTATTAACGATGCTCATGTTTATGCTAAGTCACTGGTGAAGATGAATCACAAAATGTTGAACAACAATATTAAACTTTATTTATTATTTGCAGCAAAGAATAGTGAATATGGAAGAAATTATTCTTTCAGGAGATGCTTCATTTCCTGAGGCTGCCTGGGGAGCAGGGACACTCCTCGAGTTTGTTATATTATACTCCAAAATTATCTAGGCAGTAATAGTCACCTGTTGTAGCAAGCCATTACTGTTGTGAGGGCTTCAGAGCTAGATTATCCACACCCAGAGTGTGCAGTTCATCCTGAAGCAGTTGATATCGGCATTGACTTCAACAGGAGCCTAAAGGAATGATAAACTAACTGATCAAGCATCAAATGTTGCATAAACACAGGTTCAAAACTGAATCTTCTATTCATTAGTCCAGAGACATTGGAAATGAGTTTAGAATGCCAAGACCTCAGCTGCATTCACTATGAAACATGATGAATACACTCATTGGATACTATGAAGCATGATGAATACACTCAATAGCTGTAGTCATGTGCAGATTAATCTGTGAACCAACTGCCTCAGCAGGTGCATGGCATATTGCCTGTTGTTCAGAAAGTGACAGCTATAAAACTCACCACTGTGTCCATGTATGAACTTCGGAACTATTTCACACTCTGTGTACTAGACTAAGAGCATAAACATTTCGATGATAATATCTGGTTGAAATAGACCAAATGATTACTTCTCTTGCTGATATTTGGGTTTTGCTTCTCATATTCAGTTCTCAAAAGTCTAAGGCCATGTGTTCACTGTTTATTTTGGTATGAAGCCCACTGTGGATGGATATGAAGCTGTGAAGGAAGCCCTGATGGATCATGGCGAGGAGTTTTCTGGAGGAGACACATTTCCAGCAGTACATCAATTTAGTAAACAGCATGGTAAGTGTGCC